CTTATTTTTCCTTTTTAAAATGCCTGGCATCAAATGCAATATGGTCATGCAAGAAAAATGTCTGGAGTTTATGTAGATATGTTTGCCCTTTATACTTATGTGTCTGGTATATTCCTTAACATTCTGAATCGACAGTTATTGAGCCAAACCACAAAATGTGGGATTGCTGTCCCGAAAGAGTTATAAGAAGATCCACTCCTATCTCAAAGGTATAATGTATGATTTAAAGGCACAATTCATGATCAACAATTTTCTTAAACTTTCCAAACTGCTTTAAAAATACATTTGACTATTTTTGACCACTTCGATAATGACATCAAAAACCTGGGACGTAGACTACGCACCGGTGCCTCATCAAAGGTTTAAAGAAATTGATGGTTGTCAAACAAAGGGAACAAAATTGATGTTTCCTCTTCAGCTGAAGGAACACAACCAAGCCTATTTTGATGTTGTTCTTAGTCTTAAGATAGATATTTGGTCATAAAGTCAACCAGACATGAAACGAAGGCTGATGAATCACTGCTTTGGAGAGACAATTATTGATTTAAGAAAACAAATCAAACTCTAGGCTTAGGTTGGGTTTGTTTGGATTGTAAAGTCTAAACTTCAAGTTTATCCACTCCCCCCCCCCTTTCATCATCATCAGCAGGTTGAGTTAAAGTGCACTTTTGGAATGTGTTATGCTAGTGCCAAACTACAACCATGGTAGTAAAGTCAGGTATTCTGGACGGCAAAGAGTAAGTTTAGAAGGAAGTGAAACATTGGATGTTAGGGAATGTAAAACGAGGTGTTCCTTGAATCATTAGATTGGGTACATTTAACCAAGGTTGTGACAGACGATAGTAAGTTTACTAGTGTTTGACTCAAATGGAGTTGATATAGAGTTTTTTTAATATGATTCTTTTGTTTTTAGCTTAGAGACTTGGGTGGAAAGCGCTTTATAAGCACTGTTTTTATTAATTACTATTTATCTCTCATGTTCACTATCTTGCCTGTATTCTGTACTGGGTTTGTGTGCTGGAATAACTCTTTTATTCATAATGACTCTGTTTGGGTATTATGTTCCTATTTCTTCTCTTTATCTGTAATATTTCTTTCCTTCTCCCACTTCAAGACGGTATTATAGCTCAGTAAAAGAGCACCAGTCACATAACAAAGAAAATACTTGGTTTGAAATATAAAAAAAAGCCACATCTGTTGCCATCTTTAACAAAATTGTTGAAAATGCACTTGTTTTCAGAAATGTTCAAATACTTGGTTGTGAGTCTGTAAAGTAGCACTGTTAGGAGTTTTCTTTTTCACCACGGCACAGTATTCGTTATATAAATTGATCTAATTAATTACTTAGTTATTGATTCACCAGTTTCCTTTGACATGAATCCTCTGTTGCAAAGTCTTCCAGATAGGACCATTGCGTATTTACAAGCGTAATACCTGGATCCTTGGCGGTCAGGTAAAGAAAGAAATGCATGAAGATAATTAATCAACATCACTACCAACTTCCAAGTGTTTCCTCCCCTAGATGCCCTTATTAATTTTTCATACCGTTCGTACCTTGTTTGTTCTTTTTTCGTATTTTTCATGATCATCTTCACGCTAATCATCTTTCCTATTATTCTTCTTTCCTAATTCTTCCTGGCCCCTGACTTTTTTTAAATTTTATATTTCTGTTTGTCAAATGCTCATTCTCCTTTTTATCCTCTTCATAATCCTATTCAATATCACATTGGTTACTTTTACTTCCTTTAATACTCCTTCTTCATAGTTTTGTTTTGTGCTTCATGGCGTGGTCTTCATTGAGAGCTTATGTTAGTTTTATCTGAAAATTAGAACATTTATTTTAATGAATTTTCTTCTTTGAATTCCTTTTATTGAGCAAAAGGGTAATGTAGAAGCAAGTGAATTACTTTAAAGGAGTAATCTATTCTCCATTCATAGCAATCTGTGTTCACTATAATTTCAGTCTACAAAACTTGATTGGTTTTCATTGGAAGTAATTTTTTGAAGACTCCTTTAACACTAACTAGAAAATAAAAGGGATGCCATATTTTGATCAAATGCACATGTAGAGGCTACTTCATTTAACAAAATTGGTCTGGGAGCTGAAGATGATAATGCAGAGATGATCCCTGATTTAAATGCTAGTTATAATGCATGTTATGAGCCAGAAGAGCATTGGGTTAGGGTTAGGTATAACTATATTCAGAAGGCCTGTCTTCGTCTGCTTGAGTTTGTCCTATTTTCAGACTCGGGATATTATCCTGAAGCTCGAAATTGCGTTTTCACCATAACGATATTAGCTCATCGCAAACTAGCTCGGACGGGTGCAAATTACCCTGCTTTTTCCCAAATAGCGGGATATTTTGGAAACAAGACCAAGATGTCTCGGGATATTTTCTTGACCTAATATCCGCTAATTGCAACTGTGGGCTGATGAAGACGCAGATTAATAGCTTATTTTGCGATCGGGATTGTTAAAATAGCGGGTTATTTCACAAACTTGAGCTGATGAGGACAGGCCTAATGATATGAGCATATGGCCTTCTGGGTCTATGCAGACAACATGAAACTACCTCCAAATATCTCCCCAAAGAAAATATAATCAAACAATAATATTCAACTTTTATTTCAATTTCATTTAACATTGAATTAAAATTCCTCCATGGATGGAGTAGTTAAATGAAATGAAATATCCTTCAATCAACTATGACCATCATTTTCTTTCTTCAGAGTGCTGATCTTTTTAGCTTTAAACACTAAACAAATTTGAAGAAGTAATTAACTGTGACCATAGGTGTGTGCATGATAAACAGCCTTTGACACATTCCAATCTCACAATATTGTATCAAAAGATTATGACGTTTGTTCTGTGATTATGGCTTGTGTCAATTTCCTCTTCTTTCTAAGGCCCCATTCACATTCGACGTGGTGCATGGTTACAAACCACCTCAAAATCGCTGCTGTTAAAGATAAAGTTTAGTACTGGTCATGCGATTGCATTGTGAAAGAAACGGTGTGGAATCGATCAGAAAAGGTTGTTCATCTAACATATACATATTGGTGTGTACTGCAAGGTTCTGGAATCATCAAAATGATTAAAAATGTGGCCTAGTCTTGGTAAATTTAAAAGCACTATACACAAAAAGATGTATATGGGACAACACAAATGGTGTCGGGTTAGTACACCTTGATTTCCGTACCTTTCTATGCTCATTACTCAGCCAGTAAACATTTTCTACAAAAATTGTTTGGCAAATGACATTTATTTGTAATCTTGAACATTCAGTGCAAGTTTCATTTGATTCTGTGAGAATTCATTTTCTTTTTGTTACCAGAACTCAAGTTTATCTTTAAAGCAGGACTGCACTACTTGTAGCTACTTGCGCCCTCTATATAGCAAACAATGCCTAAGTGGTACCTGTTGATCCCCCATGGTCCCCTTTTTCTTATGTTAATTGAGAGCTGATTTGATGAGATAACCAACTGTCAGAAACCATGCAGGGAGGTCTAATCCCTTCTGGCCAGACTTGTGCGGTGGGGATTTAAATGAAAATACTTGAACGCAGTTCACTTTACATTCTATATCTAAGAATATACAGGTATTGAAGCCATATTGTAGTAGAAGCGCTATTGCAGAATCCTCTCTAGCGCCATCTCGGGTCAGCTGTAGCAGTATGGTCCCGTGACTTGCTGCTTCCCTAGATGCGCTGTTGGTTCGCACATCGAGTCCTCCGTCTGCGAAGCGAGAATGAGGCATTGGGTTACGCACCTTCGGCAAGTTGACCATGAGATGGCGCTGTGCAGTTAAAAGTACGCTAGGGCAGAAAGTTCATCAGTTCAGTATCGCTTTAAAGTCGGCACACTTAGGGGCCTTTCTTACATGCAGCTTCTCCTTTTCACACCACTTGTCCATTCATATACAGTCAAACCTGTTTAAGTGACCACCTGTCTACAAAGACCACATATTTTTGTTTCCCTTGAAAATGGTTTCTCATTGAAACATCTACTAAAGGAACCTGTCTACAAAGACCACTTTTTGTGTTTCCCTTGGGCGGCTGCTATAGACAGGTTTGACTGTACATGTACAAAAAGAAAAATTATTTTTTATGACGGTTCTTGTTTTGGCAGTTCAGGTTTGGGAGCAAACTGCACCATATGTGAATAGGGCTTTAATAATGGGTCTGTTTTTCTGTCCTTCAAATAAAGGTTAGGTATCAATTTAAATGCTATGCACTATGCACTTTAAGGGCATGATGATGACTCATAGTTGTATTCTTTTGATGGCTACATTCAAGGGACAAATAGTCAGATCAAATGGAGGCCTTGATAGATACACGGATATCCATATGGCTGTCGCAAAAATGAATCTTTGTTTCTTTCTTATATCATTGTCATTTTTGTATATGGCTGTGTTGTGCTTATCCATTGTGGCAATTTTCAGTGTTTATGATTTTCATAAAGTTTACATTAATTCCTTTTACCTTTGGCTGCCCTGAACTTTACTAAAAACTTAGGATTGAAACATGATAATGATCCATTGATAATGATTATTAAAACTCTACAAAAAAGTTTTGTTGTGAATGCTATAGATGGTTTTAAATGGAATAAATCACCCAAAATATTTTGGTCCCTTGGTTATTGGTTTCATGCTGCAACACTATATTTAAAGTTTCAGAAAAGTATCAGCTTCAAATTATATTTCTGTAAGAGATATTGTGCAAGTTTAATCATGCTTTCAGTGAACATTCGAGTGACTTGCAAGTACATGTAGACCCATACTTTCACAGCACAACAGTTTGCATGAAAGTAATGGAACTCAATGGGAATTTGTTTTTGCTTCATAATCTTTGAATATTAACTTATAGAATGGTTAAGAAATGTGTATATATATATATTTTTTTTTTTTTGGGGGGGGGGGATTGTTTATGTACTTATCAGCTGTACAAACATATTTTAAATTGACTGTTCCCTTTAAATTGTCTAAATTTCATCCTTCTCAGTACATGCTGGACGATGAAGATAACGAGATGGAGGAGGAGTCTTATCTGGAGGATGTCGTCGAGGAACCTACCTGTCTCCCGGGCGTACCAGCCTGCTTGGAACCCTCTGCCCTCCCCACCAAACTCTCCCTCATCTTCGTCTACACCCAGCTGGTCATCCGGACCATGGCCCTCTCCGGAGGGCATCGTCCCTACCGGTCCCTGGTCCCGGCGGGCCTCCAGGAGGTGATGCTGAGTGGTGTGTGGCACCAGGTGGGGCTCTTCAGGATGATGCAGATATGCATCCTTGGGTTGGTCTATCCATATAAGTTACACAGAGAAAGCGTAGAAGAAGATGAAGACTGGTGAAACTCGACCCCTGTTACACCAAGATAAATCTGACCCTGCATGGCCTGAGCTAGGTGTACCTGGACAACAGGTCAACAACAATAGGTCCATGGTCTAAGGCTGGCCCCAGATAACCAAGTTACACAGAGAAAGCGTAGAAGATGAAGACTGGTAAAGGATGACCCCTGTTAAGGCCCGGTCCCACTGCACTTACGGATGCAAAGAGGATGTAAAACGTAAAAAAATCTTGCCATCCGTTGGAAAACCGGTGGAAAACGCTATGCATCCGTTGTGTACTCATTGCATACGTGTTTCATACGCTCTATCCATCGAGCATCCGTCCACTGTGATTTCATCCGCGCAAAAAGTTTTGAGCTGCACAAAACTTTTAGAACGGATGAACTTCCACCGTGTACGATGTAAATCCGCGACAAATACGAGCAACAAACGTTCTATGTCCGTTATCATCCGTTAAACGTCCGCTGTATCCTCTCTGCATCCTCTGGGCATCCTCGCAACTCACATCCGCTGCAGCTGAAAATGGAAAGAGGGAGGAAAGATAAGGTACATGGAACGTCTATACATCGTTAGTAGCACGGAAATAGAAAGGATGTAAGCGTATGCATCTCGTATGTAAAGTATTGAAAGCTGTCATCCACTTACATCCGCTTTCATCCGATAGGCTTCCGATGAACATCCGTTTAACATCCCCGCTACATACTACCCACGTCCGTTATTTTCCGTTCTGTTTTCGCAAATTTTTGGAAATTTTGTCCATTTCTGGAGCGGATGAAAACGGATGGAGCCACCCGCGAAATTTTGCTTGTCCGCTGTGTCCTTTATGCATACGTTTTGTGTCCATCGGCCAGTGGGACCGGGCCATTACATCAAGATAAACCTGACCCTGGATGGCTTGAGCTAATGGACAACTGAAGGACCAAGTGCATGCAAACTAAGCGGAAGAAGGGCCCCATGATGTCTGTTTTTGGCAAAGCCTACGGTTAAATAAGATCAGGGGCCACCTTTTCTTAGTGTAAATGGGTAAAAACAAGGGCCTGCTTTATGCATCAGTTATCAGGCCACATTTTGAGGCTGGGTCTTTCCTTGCCTTTGAAACTATCAAAGGTGTATAAGGGGCATTTGGCTTAATACTGTGTATGTTATTGGGTTTTTGACAGACATACCAATCAGATTTGATAGTTAGGTCTGATCGCCGACTTTTAAAGTTGCCATGGGAAAGATGCGACTTGGTCTTGAACCGAAATCTATCAGAGTCTAGTTAAATACAAAGACAGAGAATTCACCACTTCTCTATTAGTTCCAAATTCTGACTTTGTTGTCTTTGTTTAGTATTAGTATAGTGGTGTAGTGGATGAGTCACTTGACTCTGAATCACAAGGTACAGGGTTCAAATCCCTACCACAGCATGATAATCCTTTGGCAAGCCGTTAATCTACATTTGCCACACTCAACCCAGGTCAAATAAAATGGGTGCCCAGTAGTAAGAACTTCCTTGAATGCCTTATCATGACAGCCAAGCTAAAGCTGGGGTAATATCATTCATGCACATATGAATAGTTAACCAGGAATATTGTCCAGTATGAATTGTAAGTACTAGTATTACATTCCAGTTGCATATTATATACCTTTACAGAAAATTGTGAATGAAAAGGTGATTAAAGGAAAGTATTTGATACTGTGCAGATTTGTTGAGCCCCCAAAATCAATGTAGCGGTATAAGACTTGTTTTATTTTGATTATTTTATTGCAGAATATGCAACATTCTGTGATAGGAAAGTATTCAAAGAATGTTTCATAAGCAGACAAAAAAGTAAAAAAAAAATATAAGAATTAGCATTTGTATTCTATTCCTTTTTGTAAATCAGATCAAATCTGTGCATCATTGGTTTCAAGTAGTTGGCTTTTTACATGTTATCTCTATAAGAACAAAATTATACTATCAAGTTCCTCATTTTGTGATACTTGCCATTTCTGTTCATGGCTTCCAAGGTTAAAAATTGTGTTATTCTTGCTCAATACTCAGCCCCTAAGTAATTTTATTTCTTAAAGAAAGAAACTATAATTAAAAAAATTATAAATACGACCAAAAAAAAAGAGAGAAAATAAATGTTGATGTGTGATCAATTGAATCTTGTACCGGAAGTGCCTCGGACTAGTAACTCGTTAACTGAAAATCGTTTGTGATTGCAAAGAAAACTTTCAAAACTTCATGCCATTTTTTGTTGTTGTCTTGTATTGGAATAAATGAGATGATTTTTGACTTCGCAGCTGAGTTTTATCCATAAAATGAACGACCAAGAATTATGTTTCTGTGATGTAGTTCCTGTTATGTGAAATGTAGTTACTATACGTACTTTGTGTGACTTTGTATTCTATTGTTCTTGCAGTTGTTCTGCAAGGGGAGTGAGAGAATTGAATGACAATGATTGAATCTTCAAAGAACCACCGAATACACCACAAGGTTGTCACCAAAAAAATAGCGCTATATCACACTTGTTTTTAAATTCCAATCGCTAGGTAATTTAATCATGTACCTGGGGAAAAAATTTTGATAAACATAAAGTACACTAGATTCCTTTTTGCAAAAATTCAATTCATTGTGGTCGACACTAATGGATTTTGCCTTGCTCGTGCAAATAATATAATTCACATGGATAATGGTTGCCTCAGTGTTTAATTCAATAGTTTTGTTTGTCTATGTGGAAATTGCATTGAAATCAAATCCCTGTTTTCAAATTTTTCTGTTTTGGAGATAATAGTAATGATTTGTTTACGTTTGTCAACATTTCTTTGGTGAATGAAACAAAGTTATTTCACCTTTGGTATTCTTTAATTCTTTCCCATCTAGCATGAATAGATAATTTTCCGGTTATCATCTTCCCTTCAATTTGTTTACATTTTGGAGGATGTGCGCCAATAAACCCAATCCGAATGTAGAAAAGAAAATCATTATAAATCTGGCACAATTAACCATTAACCCATTAATAAGTATTTGAATGGTTCATGCTGTCAACAAGCAGAGGCTTAGGAGATATTAAAAAATGATGGATAGGTATTACGACATGAATAAAATGGAATATGTGTGTTCTCGTTTATATCGAGAGAATGATAAATTGCATAGTTGAGGGTAATTATTTTGAAAAGAAATCCCAATGAGCTGTTATGGGCACCAAGATCCTAGCTCACCCCCCCCCCCCCCCCCTCTATGACCCCTCAATATAAAAGATTGATTAATCGATTATAAAATTATTAAATGAATAGTTGATTGGCAGGCATTTTTTTTAAGAAAGGAGAAATTGTAGAAAGCTGTACTTTTCTTTTACAATTGTTTGTTAAATAAATGAACAAACATTAACAAAAAACAAACAAACAAAAATATTACAACTAAAATAGTGAGCCCAAAAATCAAAGTTATCTTTGATCTCACTACAGTCATCAATTTGTGGGAAACTTTTCTGCATTTTGATTTTGCCAAAATTTTCTAGAAGATTCATATGCAACATGAGAAACCTTTCCAATTTGTAGTTGCAGTAGTATAATTTAAAATGTTATATGCAGTGTGTGTAGTACCTTTAATATATGTGAAAGCAGATAAAGGAGGAGGACTATTCTTTTACAAGAGAGAGGGAGAGAGGGAGAGGGAGAAGAGAAATATTATTAATACGGAATATAAACAATTGTCAGCTAAATGCACGTAATGAGTGATACGAAACCAATGTGAGGAAAAGGAGTCGATTCATGTAGACAAAAATACATACAGGGGGTAAATGGAAAGAGGGGGGGGGGGGGTCGACCAAACCGGATATCATCTTCTAAAAGGATGAGGGATATGGAGAGAGACGTGAACGACAAAAGAATGAAAGAGAGAGAGAGGGGGGTAAGCGTAAACGGACAAAAGAAACGGAGCCGGCAGAGGGAAGAGAAAAGAGAAGAATAATGTTTCCCTTCTGTGGAACATGAGCAACATTCTTTTGATGACTCATGCAGCTCCGTAAATGTCACTGCCCTCCGAAATTGGGTTACTCGAACAACATACTTCATCCCGAACAGAAGCCCCCTCAAAAATATGACAAGGGTTTTTATTTATTGAACCCAACAGCATTTATCAACAGTGCGGCTTTGCTTGTATACTGTTCATTTGTATGGCTCTCGTTTAAAATCAAAACCGGTGACATGGGTGATCGCGGTTGATAAGCTAAATGAAAATTGAAAAACCCATGAACAAGTCGGTCACGATTTTCATTTAGCCATATCTCCAAGACCACTGGCAAACTCAGGTGGAGGGAAAACAACCCATGACCCCATTCTTAAACCCCGGAGGCATACCTTAACTTACGAACACTAAAGAAAAAAATGCCTCTCCTTGTAGGTCCGCAAAACACCTGAAATATCTTGCTCGTTACTGATTTGTTTTAAACAAAACATATAGTAATTGAACACCTGCATGTATATGTGTAACCCCCCCCCCCCCCTTCTCCTACCTTTTTATTTGTACCCCCTTTTAACTGTGCCCCTTTTGTCCAGAATTCGGGAGCCGCCCATGTTTAAGTTCATTTGTGGCAAATTTACCACTACATGATTTACTTCGGTTTGGTCTCAGTGAAATGAAGGAAACCAAATCCTACTCCGTTTTGTTAGACAAAGTCAAGCCTCTCTAGATGGGGAGGGGGTGCTTACTAGAGAGGAGATTATCTCCCCCACCCCATGAATTTCCCTTGACTATACTTTCGTAAACTACTGCCTTTCACGGCGTAAGGGGGGGCTGGGGCAGTTGCCCCAAATACTTTCAAAAATGAAATGAACTGCAGGCAACATGTTGATCCTTACTATGGATAATGCTTGATTAACCCACCCCTTCCCCTCCCCCCTCCCCAGGGAGAAAAAAACTCGTGATAGGTGGATCGACACCTTCACAAGGGAGTTGATTAAAATTGTTGCTATGAATTTAAAATGAGTGGTATCATCGTTATTACTTTAGCGATGATATTCGGGATAAAAATATGCCTAATACTGGTGACCCAATTTATTGGTCAGTCTCTTTTAATAACGATTGGCTTGCTGTCTATCGTAATCTATACACGAGTTATTGTTTCTAGATTCGGGTCTCCGCCATCCCTTGCCTTTAGTTTCATAATTAGTTTGTTGCTCTATGATGACCTGA